GTCAGGTTGTCTTTATTGATGATTTATATTTTTAAGGAAACAATTATTAACAAAGATATAGTTTTTATGTTGTTAAGATTATACTTTATTAATTGTATGATAGAAATTTATTAATTTGTTAAGATGACAATACAGGATATTTATATAAAATACAGTTATAAGAAAGAGACAATAAATATAATAAAGAAAATGAATATAATTATGATAATAAATAAAATAATGATAAACGTTATAAAAAATATCACAATGATAGCCATGATAACTATGATAGTAATGAAATTAGTAAAAATGATGATCACGATTTTCTTGGTAATCATTAGTGACATTAGTTAGCACAGTTATTTAGTAACGCAAACGGGTTATCACTAACACTATAAATATAAAATATACTTTGTTTCATATGGTCTTTGATAATACATATAAAACTAATAGGTTTAGAATGCCATTTTGTATTTTTACTGAAGTAAACAATCATAGTTAAAGTGTATGCTTCGTTGGAATAATTATGAATAACAAAACTGCAGAAAGTTTATTTGGACTTTTACTAATTTTTTAAAAATGGTTAATAATACTTCATCAAAAGCATTTCTAATTGATGAAGATCAAGCTATTATTAAAGCATTAGATCTTAGTTTTTAACAACCACATCATGAAAGCGACAATAGTTCATTTTTTGTTCAGGAAACATTCAAATTGCTTGCTTAAATTCATTTGTTTCAGGATCTATTAAAACTTCATAACAAAATTCATTATCTTGAGATTTAAGATATTCTAATTCCTTAACAAAATCATTTGAATCAAATTCTCGTCTTACTCCTTCTTTTTGATAAATAAAGTTGTACAAATTATCATAAATCCAAGTTACATTTTCTGAAAATTTTTCTTTTAGTATTGCTTGAATTATAGGAATATTACACCTAGCACGATGAAAAGGTAAGATTTTTTCTTGAACTTCAATTGGAATTGTCCATTCTTCAGACATAAACTTGCGAAAGTTTTTAGAAACCATAGAGTGATTGTGCTCTAAACTTGCGAAAATTAGATACCAAAGCCCATTGTTGGAATCAAGTGAAGCACAAACTTTAAATTGACAATTACAATGTTGTGTAGTATGATTTCTTTTATTTAAGCCTTTTAAATTTTTCTTCAGAAGAATAAGTATCACTTTCAATAAGTTTTACATTAAGAGTTTCAGTATTTTTAGAAGAATCAGAAAGTTCTAAATTGTAGTCATTAGTTTCTTTGTAAGCTTCCATTTTAAAGTATTTAAATGCGTATAAAGTAGTGGAAAGAAATACAGTAGTATATCGATATGATAATCGATTTATTATATAAGAGATGATAAAATCGTAGACCCCTTAAGATTCCTTGCAGATCGTCAAAAATGCGTTAATATCCGAAATTGCACATTTTGACTTTTTTAGGGCTTTTATTTTCCTTAATTTGGTAAAATTTAAATTTTTTGTTTTTTATCAAAACAGCAATAAAAATCAATCACAAGTCGTCAATTTTTAGTCGATAGTCGATTAAACTCGACTGATTCCAATAAAAATCTCTATCAAAGAAATCTTTGGAATAGTTTTTTTTTTTTTCTATTGGATAAACTTATCCTAGCTTAAAGTTCTTGTCAGGAAATTATCCTTTAAAATTAACTAATTTGTGCAACCGGAATTCTGCAGAACTTTATATTTCTCTATAAATTTTAAAATTGTATGTTTATGATTGTTTTTTTAGCAACATTTGTCCAAGGGTAATAAACATGGGGTGTCACAAAGTTAGCTTAAAAGAATATGAATAAATTGATTATCAACGATTATCAAATGGTATCACTATTTTCACGTCTGTCTGCATGCATTCAATTTTTGTAAATGCGAATATCAAAACTTTAATTCATACAAGTGATCTTTGATTTCTGACTGAATTTAAAAAACGAAAATTATCAAATTCAGAAATATTTGGAATTTCAGTTACGAAGTTAATCGGAAATTTTAGATGAAATGAGAAATTAAAGCAACTATTATGACAATATAACGTTGAACGAAATTTAATATAGCACAACGTTATTCCAATTGCGCCAATTGAATTCAATTAGAGATACTAATCAGCTTGATAAATTATCTGCTTGTTAATTGGAAAAACCTTTACCCTCAAAGTTGCATTAAATCATTAATAAATAATCTTATTATTATTTAATGACTATTGTTAAATGCAACAAACTCAAAAATAATTTCAATTCTTATTTGAATTATCCGGACACCTTATTTCCTCTTAAAAAATCGTCTTAATCCTGCATTAGTGGCTAAAATGCTTTTCTTAAAGCGTAACATGAAGATTATGGAAGTTTTTGCACCTGACTGGAATAATTCAGAAGACAACGAACTAGAAATAATGTATTTGATATATTAATAATGGTTTTATACTCTTGTATTTGAATAATAAATTTAAATAAATTTTATAAAGGCCTTCGTTAAATTATTATAAATATATGAACGCATTTCCTTAAAATGAGGGACATGTTTACTTAAAATCTGGATTGAATCCTTTATCCTTATTTTTAATCCGCCCGTAAAACTTTTTCCTAGGTTATACATATTTGTTTAGCTGACTCAGAATCCCGAAAGAAGTTCACATGAGTTCACCAAAGTTGAATATACATCAATATGAAAATTTAATTGAATTTGCATAATCATTTTATAATTTGTCCTTTACCTATAGTAGTTAACCTCATGAAATTGTTTGTTATTTACATGAATAGGAATAATGGAAAAAATGATACAACCATATTTTTGAAAGGTATTTGATTTCGAAGTCAGATTTAATTAATGTTTAAACGAGTAAAAGAAAAGCCAAGGAAAAGCAAATAAATTATTAATAACAATTGGTGTTTTAATAACCATTTAAAATTTTAAAAATTTATTCTTGGTACTGTGGCACAATTTAAACTAATTGTATTTTGATTGGATGTAAATCAGCGCATGAAGTCAATTTGATCCCAAAAAAAAGTGAATATTTACCAATTACCAAGCAATCATTACTGCGTATACGTGTCCAAGGTGAAGAATGGACAACTTTTCAATCTTATAAGTATAAAAATTGTCTATTATGTATTTGCTGGTGTCATTATATCGGTCGAAGACAGACCAATATAGCCACAATCGAACTAAATGTATTAATAGACGTTGTATATTTGATTCGAGTTTTTTTTATTTAAACGAAAAAATGACATTGGGTTATCCTGCATATAGTAAAGAACCATTCTCATATATGTATAATACATTGACTCTTTCTTCTAATACCAATTATTGACATCAAAAAGCAAAATGTTATTTATAAATGTTATAAATGTAACAAATATAATAACATGCTTCAAATCTTGGATCCAAGATTCTATTATTCTTTGAATTATTCCGATTTATTAATGTAAAAAAAATTCGTGAATGGTTGGTTCAATATGATTGATTATTATGAATGAAAACGAACATTGAACATTCTACAAAGACCTAAAAACGAAAAATTTCCATAAATGAAATCCAGCAGTGCAAATCCAACATTTATAGTATCTGAAAATCATCATGAAAAAAACGCCAACTGAGATTTGTTATTTTGCTTCGTTCGCAAAAATATAAAATTTTATTTATTAAATCATAATAAAGAGCATTTCTTAGTTTATGAACTTTATAATAAATATGCAATTGAAATTGATTTTCCGGTAACCCTATTGTTCAATAAATCACTAACATTGTGATTTCAGAAAATAAATTTTTTTCACTTTAAATGTTAAAAATTATACTTTTACAGTTTCACATGATTTAAAATAATATTGTATTGCGAAAAAAAAATGGATCTTATAATTAAAACATGGTAAGTGAACCCCATTTATATCTTATATTTATTTTATTCATTATTATAAGCTATTCAACTTCAATAATTCTGACGCGTCATTTTTAACTTCGGTTATAATTTAGGTAAAATGATAGCAAAAAAAAAAATTTTTTTACATTTTCAAAATCTATTGTAGTAATAAGGAACAGATCAAACTATAAAATCTTTATTCTATATATTTAGAAATATTGTAGTTATTAAAAAATTTAAAATCATAAATTTCTTTTTTAAAAATGAAAAAAAAATATATATATATACTGTATCTCTTATTTACACAGGCTCTTATGTTATATACATATATTAAACTTTAAATTGAAAGCTTATATTGGAATGATTCTTGAAAAAAAAATCATAATTAAAAAATGTCCAAGTTTATCCGTAAAGTGTTAGATCTATAATGTATCATAAAAACATTAACAAACAACGAATCCTAAATATTTTAATTGACATATAGAAATATATGCTTATATGGTTATAAACCTTTCTCATTATCAAATCTGTTTTTCTTTTTTTTTTTTTTAAAAAAAAAAGAAAAAATTAAAAAGTCGATCCATTGTAGAATCGATTTAAATATGGATCATTTGTCGCTTGGCGACTTAGACCTATAATCTGATTATATGTATCTGCATAATGAAACGAACTGGGGTACATACTATTTCTTTGAAATTTGTACCGTCGACTTTGTCTCCTTTGAATAACGATAGTTGAAGTTTCAACAGTTTCAACGTTATCAATGATGTTCAAAGGTGCATTTGAAGACATGATAATGATAGATTATTATTATAGGTATTGAAAGTTTTCTTATTTTTTTTTTTTAAAAAAAAGATTTGTATGATACAGTAAGAAAGAATATTTTAAATTCAACGTGTATTTATATAATATAGAGCGGATGGAATTCAGTCAAAACTCCGCTTATAAAAATTGATTTAAAAATTAGACCGATTATGAAGTGAAGTTCAAACGAATCAACACGATTAAAGAAATGCAATCTAAGAATGTTCCTTTAAACATTAATTTTTAATTCCCTTATCTATAAAAACCATAAAAAGGAATGATAAAGCTAACAATTAGAAATTTCATAAACTCTTTTTTAGAAACACCAAATATTTAATAAAGTAGTCGATCAAAACATTGTTTTACCAAAGAGATAATCAGATTTTAGGAGTGCATGCATAAATTTTAAATGAATTGAATTTTTTTTTTTTGTTCCACTAAAATTTACGCTGAAATAACCACGTAGTTTAACTAATTTATATAAATTATGAATGGAAGCTCAAATCACATTCTTTTTATTGAATCAAATTGATTTATCTCGATGAAATTTCACCGACAAAATTTAGTTATCTTTGAAACCAATATGTACGAAAAAACCATGAATTTAAAATTGATAAACGCATAATTAATTGTAAAGTTAGGTAAGATGGCGTGATTATATTAAAGTTCCAATATTCTGGACCATTAGTACAAAACACTAAAAAATAAAACATTCTGCGCAACGTTGTGCAACAGATAGTTCCATAAAAAGCAATCAGCTACTTTTAATAAAGTTTAATTAAAAAAAAAAAAGGTAGAGAGAGCAAGAAATTCCAAATCGGAGCTTTTTACTGGACTATGACTATATAATGTTATACTGTATTTCGTGAATTACGCGTAAAATTTGTTTGTACTTCGTATGTAATTTAATGCATGTTTAATACTTAATTTTTTCTTTTTTATAAAATTTTATGAATGAATACAAATAAGGAATATCTCCGGGTACCCCTTTATAAGGATAACAAATTCTCAAAGTCAAATAATTTTTAAGTTGATTTAGTTACACAATTTCCTGGTCACAAAAAAAAACACCAATTAATTATTACCGCCAAGTTGAGAGAATTTTCGATTAAGAGAACTAAATTGGTAAGATGAAAGGGTTACAGATCAAGAAATTTTTGTAATTTTGTTTTGATTCGCCAAGTGTAAAGAATCATGTAAATTAATTTATCAATAACGACAATTGTAGCTCATACTATAAATTTACTTCATAAAATCAATGACTGCTATGAAAAATCACTTTTTTTACTTTCATGAACAAAAAAAAATATTTTTTGATTTGTTCATGTTTATTTAATGTAGACCATTAGCATTTTTTTTTACTATGTCGTACTCATAAATAAAACCTTATTTCCTTATATAGAATATTAAGAATAAAGTTATTAAAATTATTTTTAAAATGCTTAAGTCGGTGTATTCGCGTTAATTTCCGCGTAGAACTTAGAAGTTCACTTTGATTACGTTATTGTCATTATCAAACATCTAAAATTTAATGTTTGACTTATCAGTATTGTAAACAGTATAATTACTTTATTCATAAACTTCATTTATTGAAACAAAT